CAAATTTACATTAACTGTGTCCTTTGTGAAACTTAATGCCAAAAATTATTTTAAAAGTTTTCCTGGATTGGTAGAGCCCCTAGGATCCTGGCAGAAGCTAATACAAATCCTCTTCCAAGGAAAGCACTTAAAACCTTCAAATAATTCACACAAAGTTCCACAAACATGAGCTAACAAGAAAAAATAATCCTAAAACATGAAAAAAGAAGCTTAACATAAGCAAGAATCTGCATAAACAAAAAACAAAATGAGATGCACAAAGATTTCAAATCAAGTAATGATTGCACACAATATATATTAAGCTTGTTTAATATGTTTAAAGAAATACAAGAGATATTTGCAAGTATGAGTAGGGAATAAGAAACCAAACAGATATGAAAAAAGATTAAATATCTATAAATGAAAAATATAATTGAAATTAAAATGCATTTACAGAACTGAATAGTAGATTTAACACAACTGAAGAGCAAAGTTGTTAATAGGCAGATAAAACTGAAAAAAATTACCAGGAATTTAGCTCAGAATATCAAATACATGAAAAACATAAGAGAATAGGATGTGAAGGCTAGAATGAGAAGGTGTAACATACATCTAATTGGCATCTCAGAGGATGATAACAGAGTGTGGGAAAAGCAACATTCAACAAGAGTTTGAATATTGAGGTTTTTCCAGCATTGAGGGATGACAGGAATTATCTCAGGTTCAGGAAATTCATTGCTGGATAAATAAAAAGAAATCCCAAAATAGACACATTGTAATCAAATCAAACAATGAATCAAAGAGAAGATCTTAAAATCAGCCAGATTATCTACAGAGATCATAAGATTGACTCCATTAGAGCAGTAAAGAAAGCCAGAATATAGTGGAATAGTATTTTGAAAGCACCGACAGAAAAGACCAGTAAGCCCCAAATTCTATACCAAGAACTCTACCTTTTAAGAATGAGGGCAAATTAAAGCTAGATACTTTTAGACAAACAGAAACCAAGTTTACCTTAAAGAGATCTTTAGTAAAGGAATTTGTAAAGGACATACTTCTGGAAGAAGGAAAACTATCCTAGAAGCGTTTTGAGATGCAAGAAGAAATGGTGAAAAAGATATGTAGACAAATCTAATAAAACATTGGCTCTATAAAAAAAGGACAATGTATAATTTATCAGGTGGACAGAACAAAAACATTGGATTACACTATAAATCAGGAGGGGGATTTGATAGGCGTTAAACCAGTCTAAAAGCCTTGTATTATCCAGGAGAAGTGTAAAGATGTTAATTCTCTTCAGACTTGATTGGATTTTTTAAAAAAGGCCTCCAGGTACAAGAAAAATGACAACAGGACAGAAGACACCACCACCAAACTTTTGGAAACTGGAAAGCAGAGGGACACAAGTTGACAGACTGAATGCACTCAAGAAAGCTGAATTCTAAACCAGCAGTGGTCAAAGTCAACCTGCAAAGAGATTCAGGATTCAGTGGCATCAGGCATATCTGAGAGTGGGATGAGGGTGGGGCTAAAACAGGGCTATTGGTTCAGAGTTAGTTTAACAAGAAGTTAAACGCTGAGATCCCACCCTTACCCTTTCTGCGAGCTGACATAAGATGGGGTGGGTAAAAAGAGCGTCTTGGGACAGGAGATATCACGAAGGGAGAGGGCAGGGATACCGTACTGCGCAGACACGGGTCTATATACCCACGTTGATGGCCCCAGTGCTCTTCCAGCCGTCCCTCCAGAGAGCTGGCCACCCTGGGTTTACGTCGAGTGCTGGATATTAGTGGTCTTTTCTAAAAGTAGTTTTACTGGGGTACTCCTTAAATTGACCCCATAGAAAAGTATCACCTACAAGCCCAAAACTTTCAATATGCTTCTTTTTTCTGCCCTATTTTAACTTTTGAGCAGAAAACCACGTATCAGTGGAAATTGGAGGAAAGCAACTAGTACGAAGTGAGAGAGACCAAAACAATGAGAAGAAAGCAATCAGAAGAAATAGATTATTCTTGGATAAGAACATTAAAAAAGGCCATCAATAAAATCCTCAGTTTGGGTCTGTATAAACTTATCTCTTTTGTGTACTCATTTTGGAATCTGCATTATTAGGAATCTTAAAAAAAATGCTGGGTTACTTGCTACGGGTTGATTCATAAACATGGCATAAAACTTAAAATGTATGTATTTATAAATTCATACGCTTAGGGGTAAATAGTTGACTTGGATGGTATTAACCCATAAAATCAATGTTCTGGGGAATATAAGCAGAACTGGAACTTGCTGGGAATCTTCATTTCTTATTATGAACAGCATTGTCAATTTCCGCAAAATATAAAAATTAGCAGTGTCATGTAAGAAAGAAAGTTTCTTGCTTCACATGCCTTCATATTCCAAGCTGGAGAGAGGTGAAAATCCTTTAATTCTTAAGTGTAAGTTAACCTCTGAATGTGATCATAGAATTTTAATAATCTGTGGGTGTGTTGACAAATCCATTACTGCTGAGAAGTCTTTGTAAGGACCGATGCTATATTAACCAGAGTTATTTATGTCTCTCTAATTATCACCTTCTTGATGGACCAGGAACCACCTTTCTACTGGTTTAGAGGTTATACAATGTGGAGGGCTTGATTTACTAAGACAGGGCAATTCATTTAATGGCTGTGCACTATTTGTTAGCTAGGTTTGAGGACATCAAACAATTAATAATTTGTACATTCCAGAATTAATGAGATTATCTCATGATAGCTTCCAGGAGACATAATTTCAAAGCTGACAACAGCCACAAAGGCTTTTTAAGGTTCATTAAGAAGTTTCACATAATTGAGTAATTTTAGCTTACTGCTTATATGAAATAATGTAGTCACAAACCAAAGTCTAAAGACGACTTCATACAACTTTTTTTCCTTTTTTCCTCATCTTTAATATAATTTTTTAAATAACAATAGTTCCCTAAATAAGATAAACTGATCCTTTCAAAGTTACTTAAATCTTAGATACATTTGGAAAAATTTGTGTTCAGTAATCTAAAGAAGTATAAAACATTAATTTCGTAAAATATACATTTTTAAAAGTACATTCTAAAAAGACATGTTAAGATATAATGATTGTTGAGTTATTGCATGGATATTTAAATACTTTTTATTAATATAGTCAATATATTAATTAACATATGAATGGAGTATATTCAATTCAACAAATACTAGAGAACCTACTATGGGCTGTGCTTCCAAGAGTGACAAAGATGAATAATGGGCCTTTTTGGCCCTCTAGAAATATTCAGAGTAAGAGAAGTGATTGATAGGTATGAAAATGCCTACCACAGAAGGAGGCAAAAGGTAGGGACTGTAAAAAGAAAAAGTACCAGAAGGGAAGGGATTAAGATGAAAATCCTTTCGGGTAATTTCTAAAGATTTCCTCTAGTAAGTGGTTGAGAGGACTCCTCAAGGGTGACTTGCATTCTACTGGAGGAGACAGGGTAGCAACTTTATAACAAGTGTGTGCTACTTCAAAGTGATTAATACTAGAAAAATTCTCATAAAACAGTCTGAAATCGATACGAACAACTTTAGCGCTTAATCTTTTCTAATTTTAGAAAGCATAATGTGGTGAGTAAAAATTTAAGTTTCAAATATTTCATATCTTCAATTACATCCAGTAGAATTCCTGTTTCCTCAATTAACAGGAAGCCCCTAGGGGTAACTCTGGACTCTCCTTACATCAGCCAGGATTCCACTGGAGACAAGTTAAGTCAGGATCGCTGGTGGGGGCTCAGGTATTAGTATTGTGTATAAGTTCTCCAGATAATTTTAACGTGCAGCCAGGGTTGCAAGCCACCAGGCTAGATTGCAGTTGGGCAATTTTGGTCTTCCTGGTAACTGATTTATTTTCTTTGCTGGCTCAAGAAATAATAAGAATTTTCCAATATTATTTTTCATTAGCTTCCACTTTACTAAGTACTCACTATGCGCCAGGCACGGTGCCAAGAATTTTTTTGTGTGCATTATCTCATCTAATTTTCATGGCTACCCCTGAGGTAGGTGCTATTTCTAAGTTACTTGCCCAGTTCCTGCCCCATCTGGAGCCCAAGAACGTACCCACTGCGCTACACTGCTTCTGTCTTCTAATTCACTCCCGATACGGAACTGTTGGGAACACTCGTCTCTCAGCAGTTATAAATAAACGTTATCTTAAAAGAGCAACGGAGAACAAGCGGCAAAATAACACAAGAACAAGTATGGAGGGCACCAGGAGGCAGAAGCGACATGGCAGGGTTGATCCGGCGATTCAACAGATCTAATTCCCCGGCCCTCCAGCACCTCTCCCTCCCCAAGCCATTAACCACCCCTGCTTAGCCCTACTTTTCAATCTCACTGGTCCTTATTGGTCAATTTCAGGGCTAGAATAACCTTCAATACAAAGGGGGGAAAAAAACCCAGTCTGGATATTTCCCAAACCCGTAGCTGCAGTTTAGGGTTTCAGTCATTACTGGAGATGGAGAAAAGCCTTCTCGAGCCTTCTTCTACATCAGCCCATCCGACTCAATGACATGGGAACAAATGCTGGGGGCTGCCCGGTTGGCTTTCCCCAGAGCCTTAGGTGGGAGACCCCACCCCTGTAGCAAATCGCCAGAGGTGGGACGCGTGGCTGGGGGCCCCCGGGGCCCCCACCCCCTACTGCCTCGAGGCACCCCCTACTGCCTCGAGGGGAGGGCGGGGTGAGCGCAGGCGGGATCCCTGCATTAGCGCTCTTCAGGGTCCCCGGCAGGCGGGCGAGTATTGTCCGGTGCCGCGCCCTTAAGGAAGGGCGCAACCGCAGTTGCGGTTGTCTGGAGAGAGGGCTGGCCCGACCCTCGTGCACAAACCCTGATTTAACTGAAGGCACTGAGGCGGGGAGCCAGGCTCAGGCTGGGGGCGAGCGGCTGCGGCGCACGCTAACGCCGAGCGCGGCCGGCCGGGCAGGTCCCTCCCGGGGAGGGTTCCCTGGGCAGCCAGCGCACTGCGCCCGGTTGCCACGGCAACCCCACGCGCCCCGGCGGAGCCGGCCCGCGCCCCGGGGCTCGCCGCTACCGGAAGTGACGTGCTTCACCTGCCGAGCGAGGGCGGGGTGGGACGGGGGTGCGGAGGTGCCGCCGCCGCCAGCCAGTCGGGAGCGCGCGAGGAGCCGGGTGACTGAGACCCCGGGTGAGAGCCGCCTACCTGCCGTCGCCGCCCACGGCCGGGCCGCCACCATGGTGCTTCTGCTGCGCTTCGTGCTCCTGTGCGGAGTCGCGGGTGAGTGGGGGCAATTCGGTCCCTTGGGTCTCCACTGCCGGCGCAGCCCTGGGGCGCGGGTTGCCCGCGGCCACCCGGGAACAATGAGCGTGGGGGAGGGGGCGGCGGTGCGGGGGGCTTTGCGCGGGGCTGGTTTGCCGGGCCGGGCGCGCCAGCCGGGAAGGTGGAGCGGCTCGGGAGGGAGCCCTGCGGGGACGTGGGGTGTCCGGGGGGCGTTGGCGGCGCGGGAGACCGAGCCCGGGGATACGGAGCGGCGGTGCAGGGGCTCCCGGGCGCGTGTGGGTGGGCGCGGCGTGCCGGGTGTGCCTGGCGTCCCTCCCGGACTGTTCTTTGCCGCGGGTGCGGGCTCTGCTTTATTTCCTTGCCCTTTCCCTTGTTCGCCGCCGTGTAGAGTCCGTGCAGGGTTACCCCATTTCAAATGCCTGGGGCGGCAAGTTTTCAGGTATCGAGCGGTCCAAGCAGGGAGGCTGAATTACAAACGCCATGATTAAATGGACACTGAGCTTTTCAGTGCCTCGGATCGTCCAAGCTTCCTCTAGGAAAGAGGCGCTGAACGCACGGGAGCCTGTGAGCCTTCTTGATCTGGTCGGAGAGGCGAGCCCAGGCACGAGCTGTTAACGAGATGGTAACTCGGCGAAGTAGACCGTGAAAAATCAAAAGTAGGTTCCTGCAAAAATGCAGTATTGATTGCCGCAGTCCCGGGGCAGAGTGCAAAGGAGTAATTAGTAATCTCGGTTTTGAGTTCGTAATGAGTTGGTTCATTTTGAAGATAAGATGGGATGACATGTACAGGGTAATTCCCAAAGGATTCGCTAAGTACATTTTTCCACTGCGCCTTTCTCGGGAGGGAAGAAACAGCATTTAAAAAATGCGTGGACCATTAGAAGGTATAATCGTTTGACACTTAGAAAAACTGATCTGTTTTCATGTCAGTGTTTCAGCCAGCTGATCTTGTTCGTCAGAGTAAGCACTTGTCGCATTTTAGAACCAAATGACTCATTAAAAAAAAATCCATAGGTGGGACCCTAGGAGGCACACTTGCTGTAGCCTCCGGAAGGATAATTTTTTTTTTAAGTGCTTTGAAGCAGGATCGAGTGGCCCTTTCTGTTGGGACGGCTCTCTGCTTCCTGTTGAAATGTTAATTCCATTGTTGGATGCCACAGCTGTGAGCATTACTCATGGGATCTACATTCTATTAACAAGTCTAAGTTCAATCTGAGTCTAGAGCACTATCTCCACCTTTTTGATACATATCACTTAGACTTGGCTGAAATTTCCGAAGTAGAGCTTCCGGCAAAGGTGAAGGGTCAGTAACTCGTTTACATGGTAGGTTCCCACCTTTGTTTTGTCAAGGACTGAACTGGAGTTGCAGCTTAGAACGCAGCGTTTGTGTTCTCTATGGAAAAAGATGTTAGCCTACATCTAAGGCAGAAGAGTGGAAGAACATAAACCAGGTAGACGAATTTTTTTTCTGGGATATCCAGATAATTGTCTGGATTTCATTTTTTCTGGATGCCTCACTTTGGTAGGCACAATTTCAATCAAGGATTTTTTTTTTCTTTAACAGTTTTATTTATTTATTTATTTTTTTTTTTGTGAGGAAGATCAGCCCTGAGCTAACATCCATGCTAATCCTCCTCTTTTTGCTGAGGAAGACCGGCTCTGAGCTAACATCTATTGCCAATCCTCCTCCTTTTTTTTTCTCCCCCCAAAGCCCGGGTAGATAGTTGTATGTCATAGTTGCACATCCTTCTAGTTGCTGTATGTGGGACGCGGCCTCAGCGTGGCGGGAGAAGCAGTGCGTCGGTGCGCGCCCGGGATCCGAACCCGGGCTGCCAGTAGCGGAGCGCGCGCACTTAACAGCTAAGCCACGGGGCCGGCCCCTCAATCAAGGATATTTTGATACATATAGAGTCATTCTGCTCATAAAGTGTACACGAGGTTACAGTGGGCGTCTTGTTAAAGGACGATTGTCTTGTCTTCAGGTAAACAAGACAGCTATTTTTAATTCCAGTTTTCCAGCTTAGGACACAACTCAAAAACCATGTAATTGATGTACAGCTTTGAGTATTTCTTCAGATACTTCTCGTCATTTTAGAAATTTATTGCTGTGAACTCAGGTTGAGTGCTGACATGAGTGGCTCCTACAAGTTGGCAGAACAAGGTGGAGGCTTGCATATTAAAAATTGCAGTGGGGGCTGGCTCGGGTGCGTAGTAGTTGAGGTCAGCATGCTCTACTTCGCTGGCAGGGGTTCGGATCCCAGGCGTGGACCTACACCACTCGTTAGCCATGCTGTGGCAGCAACCCCCATACAAAATAGAGGAAGATTGGCACAGATGTTAGCTCAGGGCTAATCTTCCTCAAGCAAAAAAAGAAGATTGGCAACAGATGTTAGCTCAGGGCCAGTCTTCCTCAGCAAAAAAAAAATAAAAAATAAAAATCAGTGTTATCAGTGATAGATCTTCCTCTAGATCTCTCTTTATGTGGATTGTAAAGAGTTCTGTGGTATACTCTGGTTGCTGGTGGAACTCATTTTGGTGCGTTTTTCTTGCCTACTTAGTAGCAACTCATACTACTAGAAATAGTAGTGGCAGTAGTAGTAGAGCAGTAGCAATGGTAGTAAAATTAAAGCCTTGCTTGAGCAGTTATTAAATACCAGGCACTGCTCTAAGGGCTTTATTTCTACTGACTCAGTCTACCCAGCACCCTAGAGGGTGTGTATTATAATGATCCCTGTTGTACAAGTGGGGAAACTGAGGCACAGAGTGGTTATATAACTTAACTTGACAAGGTCACAAATTTCCTCCTTCATCCTTGCTCTTACCACTATATTATTCTGCCTCTTACACAGCCACTTTCCTCTTTGATTACCTCTAATTGACATCCTAAATTTCTCTCAGTGGTTATCTGTCATTTATTAAAAACCACCTGTTGGTTTGACTGTGTGCCAGGTACTGGAGGCTTTTATTATTATCCCTTTAATTTCTTGATCTTAGTTGAATACTTTCGAGCACTACTGTGAGAACACGAGGATCCAGGGCTTAGACTGGTGTTGTAAACTAATGTGGCCCGTGTACCAGAAGCATCAGCATCACCTGGGAATCTTGTTAAAGTTTGTGATGCTGCTGTTTTTCATGCTGTCAACATGAGCGGAACTAAAAAAGTACTGGCCAAGGATTCTGGTCTCCCAACCACCTGTTAGCCATTTAATGGCGGTAGGCACCTGTCTTCTCTGTGTGCATCAGTTGCTTTATGTGTCAAGAATGGGGATCCTGGGGCTGGCCCGGTGGCGCAAGCGGTTAAGTGCGCGGGCTCCGCTGCGGCGGCCCGGGGTTCGCCGGTTCGTATCCTGGACATGCACCGACACACTGCTTGGCAAGCCATGCTGTGGCAGCATCCCATATAAAGTGGAGGGAGATGGGCACGGATGTTAGGTCAGGGACAGTCTTCCTCAGCAAAAAAAAGAGAAGGCTTGGCAGATGTTAGCTCAGGGCTGATCCTCCTCACACACACAAAAAAAGAATGGGGATCCTCCTGTTTCAGAGTTGTTGAGGAGCAAAGTGAAGTGTTTATCGATTTGCTTTCCTGGAGTCTTTTCCTTTACATAAGAAAAAGGGATTATGGGGCTGGCCCTGTGGCCTAGTGGTTAAGTTTTCACACTCCGGCTTCGAGGGTTCGGATCCTGGGCAGGGACCTACACCACTTGTCAGCCATACTGTGGTGGTGACTCACATATGAAATAGAGGAAGATGGGCACAGATGTTAGCTCAGGGCTAATCTTTCTCGGCAAAAAAAAACAAAAAGAAGATTATTAGATGTGGACTCTCTCCGCTCCATATACCTCTCTCTTGCTATTTACATTCCTGCCGTTGTACCAACCACCAGAGCAAAAGTTGCCTGTCTTACAAGGCAAGCCACCCTATATTCGCTCCTTACCCTATCTCTTGTGGGGTGTCCATCAATTACTCATTTGTCTCATTGCACCAGGTCAGGGGGCAGGGACATTACCTGTGTTGTTCATGGTTATAGTCCCGGTGTTAGCTTGTGGCACCTGGCAGAGAGCACGTGTTCAGTAAATGTTGTGTAACTGAAAGTTTTCAACCTCTTGACCACTGGGCCTGTGTATATGATACAACTCTTATCAGTTCCATCTCTCTTTCCCTCCCTTCTCATCCAATAAAGATGGTCCTTGTAGGGATCATTCCACTAGCCTTGTCTCATTCGGTTGTTAGTCTAAAGTTAAGCTTCTGCTTTATCTCTGACCTTATGGTTCTGTTCCACCCCCCGTTTCAGTGCCAAAGGTAACAGTAGCTGTGTGCCAAATCCATTTATCTTTTTGGAGCTTCTTGACACCTATTTTGGTTCTTTCTATTAACCTGCTGTTCACTGCCTTGCACAATAGGTCCCTTAAATGTCAGCCTTCCCAGTGAGTTGGCCCATAGTCCTCAGTCTCCATCTTAAATCTGGGTGACCTTATCTTTCCATTACTGTAACCTCCAAATAGTTGCTAGTGACTTAAAAATATTGCCAGCTCAGCCCACCTCTCCTTTGAATTCTGGGCCACTATTTCCAGCTGCCTGACATTCAGCTTCCGCCTGAATGCACTTTAGTACGGCAGACTCGGCAAGTCTGGAGCTGAACTCATCCTTTAATTAATTGATTAAATGGTCAAGTCATTCAAATTTTATGTCCTACTATGTACTGTGCTTGTGCTAGGTGCAAAAGGTTTGCTAGGACATCCCCAGCAGATCGTACGGCTTTTGCAAAGACCTGGAGATCTGAAAGGGTGTGATGTGGCTCGGGAATTGAGAAATTCAGTGCATAAAAGCATCTAGGGGGCCAGCCCGGTGGCGCAAGCGGTTAAGTGCGCGCGCTCCCCTGGGGCGGCCCGGGCTTCGCTGGTTTGGATCCCAGGCACGCACTGACGCACCGTTTGTCGGGCCATGCTGTGGCGGCGTCCCACATAAAGTGGAGGAAGATGGGCATGGATGTTAGCCCA